GTGTGTGTGTGTGTGTGTGTGTGTGTGTGTGTGTGTGTGTGTGTGTGTGTGATTGGTCAAAGTCATGTGGGTGTGAGAGCTGGTTGTCATGGACAACAGTACTTACAGCTTTCTATCTCCAGCGTGCAGTTCTGCTCATCCAGAGGGTAGCGGCGCAGGTCCATCATGCAGGCTGCAGTTGTGGTGATCCTGTAAACAGAGAGGGAACATTTTAAACACACACACATACACACACACACACACACACACACAAGGGTTCATCAGAGCTGCAGGTAAAACAGTAATGTGTCAAAATGAACATTTTATAATAGTGATTCTTTTTATGTAGTTTTCTCTTTGCAAAGGAGACACAGACAAATAAAAATAAATACATTTGAACCAAAACTTTGCTCTTTATGTCTGTTAATAAACAGCACAAAAAGTAAGGAGATTTGTGTTTGATAGATTAGTTCTTTGTTGTAACAATGTTTCTTGGTAATAAATCTTACAGCAGTATAATTATTGCCAAACAGCATTGTGTCATTTCATGTCTTTTCAATAAATGTCACTGAAACTATATTTCATTTCATTTATTTATTTAAAAGGACATGCACATTAATCAATATTATGTGAATATAAATGCGCCAGAATTAGCACAACAGCCAAATTTCGTTCGTAGTCCTGAGCAGATAAAAAAGTAACAGTTAATAAAACAAGCGCACAAAACAGACAAAATTCATGTATGAATATATATGAACAGAGTGGCACATAACCGGTGCGCAGGTGCGCTTGCGCTGTCAAAAAAGGAAAAAGCGCACCAGACGGGACGTCATAAAGCTCCCTTGCGTACCTATGATTGTATCTGAGTGTCTGTCAAAACAACAGTTAGCAGGGCTCTAGAGTGCAACCAGTTTGGTCGCAAAGGCGACCTGATTTCTTAAAAAATAAAAAAATTAAAAAGAATCCAGCTGCACTGGTGTGAATGGATTGTTGTTCGGTGCGCCACAGCGGGACCCTGATATAAGGATTAAACGGACACTGCCTTCAACAAATCAGACGAAGTCCAGAGCCGTTTTATCCAATCAGAGCAGAGCAGGGCGGCACTTTCAGTGAGAGCAGTTTGGTTGAATCAGCGGACCGGCTCGACTCCAGCTGCTGCAGCGATCAGTCCATACATCTCCTCATCCGCTCCTCCTGCACTTTGCTCCTGAGCTACCAGAGACTTTGGTCTGTAAAACCTAACTTTATATTAAATATATGTTCAGAATGTTGTTATCAAACAGATCTGTCCAACTTTGTGTGAGTGCCTAAACTCTCCTCCTGAGAGACTGCTGTATGAGCGCGTCCCTGCGCTCGCAGGCTATCTGTGAGATTCACTGAGTTTTTCTAATTAAACCACATTAACTAAGAACATTTGTTTGCCCCATATTAAAGCAAAGATGATTCTCTGTTTAACACCCCAGTCAAAAAATTATATATATTAAAAAAAAAACAACTTGCCATGTTCTCTAGGTGAAAGAGTTTTAAATATTATTTTAATTTATCATAAAGATCCACAAATTTCATTCACAATTTTAAATAAAAAACAAGGTCCTTGATGTGCTAAACTTATTTATATTTAGGGCCATACTGTGATACAGCTTTTCTGGGATAAACGTAATTTATTAAATGATCAAATATGAAGAATAAACAATTACATGAGCTGAAACCATCTAAATAATATAATATTTTTGAATAAAACAGTCTTTTAAAAAAGAAATCAGTCTAACAAATAAAACATTTGAATGTTTTAAGTTATTTTGCTCTGTGCAAAAGACAGGTATTTGCTGCTTGGTCTGGAGAGTGTGGAAAGCTAGTTTAACCAAGGGTGAAGATGCAGAAGACCAAACAGGAGTTGTCCATCTGAAGGACATATGTAGTCTAAAAGACATTTAACCATGAAATGTTCAGTTTGTGATGCTTATATGACACCCAGCCCCTCGGCCACTTAGGTAGTTTACAAAATTTATGCAGAGTAACAGAATAAAATTAAAAAATTGTTGGACTGATTTGGCATGATGTCCTGAGACGTTGCAGCTGATAGGAGTCATAAAACAGAACAGGGGAACGTTAAATGTCCTGACACCATGAATGTGTTAAATGAGTGAAGGAAAATATGAGTGAGCACCAAGCAACAACCCTAGGTTCTCCCCTGAGAACCAGAACAAAAATTTTATGTGCAACCCTGTATGTGAATAATAATTTAATGTACATCTTTCAGCTTTAGGAGTCAATCCAGTTTAAGATGATTACCACGTACAGTATAATTGATATTAGCCAACACAAAAATGACAATATTTGATTAATTTTATGGATATCCATCCATCCATCCATCCATCCATCCATCCATCCATCCATCCATCCATCCATTTATCCATCATCCATCCATCCATCCATCCATCCATCCATCCATCCATCCATCCATCCATCCATCCATCCATCCATCCATTTATTTATCATCCATCCATCCATCCATCCATTTATTTATCCATCATCCATCCACCCACCCATCCATCAGTTTAACACCGCGGTCAGTTTAACGAGCTGCTGACCCACATCAGTGCTGATATCTCCAGCCAGAACACCAACTGCAGATGGACGATTTCAGCTAAAGAGCTCCTGTCTCTCTGTTTCGGAAACCGTCACGTGGAAAAATGATTCTCTCTGATTGGTTGCTGCGGCGCGTCGAGCATCGAAATTTCAACTTTTTGAATTCGAGCAGCGGCTGCTTTGGACACGCCACATGCACGGAAAACACTCTGCTGCATCCTACCGCTACCTTACGAGCCACGTTTAACTGGCTCAACACGCCGCACTGCTCCTAGATGTGCGTCCACCATAGACTTTGCTTGTAAACTGGCTGCTTTGGCTGCTCAAAACGTGTCCAGTGTGTACCTGGCTTGAGGGAGAGCCCAGACATCCTGCAAAGGAAACTCATTTCGGTCGCTTGTGTCTTGTTCTTTTGGTCACTACCCAAAACTCATGACCATTGGTGAGGGTTGGATCGTAGACCTACAGGTAAATCGAGAGCTTCACCACGACAGACCGGTACAGCGCCAGCATCACTGCAGATGCAGCACCAATCCATCGGTCGATCTCACACTCTATCCTTCCCTCGTTTGTGAACAAGACCCCACTTAAACTCCTCCACTTGGGGCAGGACCTCCTCCCCGACCCGGAAAACGCACCCTACCCTTTTAGGAATAGGACCACATCATCCGCAAAAAGCAGAGAWGRYATCCTAAGGTCACCAAAACGGATCCCCGCAACACCTTGGTGGCACCTAGAAATTCTGTCCATAAAAGTTATGAACATAATAATAATAATAATAATAATAATAATAATAATAATAATAATAATAATAATAATAATAATAATAATAATAATAATAATAATAATAATAATAATAATAATTTAACAGATGTTAAATCTAAAATTCATTGTAGCTGAGAATTTGGTGAAAGACTTTTTTCTTAGACTTGTTGTAGAACCACCACATACATTCCCATCTTGTAATATTTCAAGAGATAATGGATAAAATGAAAATTTAAATGGGCAATGTTATGTGTTTCTCAGGCATATATTTAAATGCTATACCACAATAACGTATCTATGTCACCTTTAGTTGTTATTAAAATGCTGTTTTTATGTTTAAATAGAAAATAAACTTGTCATCTCATCACTTCATCTTCTAAACATCTTGAAATTGGGCTCTGTCTCTTTAAGAACCTCCTTCCGCTTCTGTCCCGCCCATTTCAGCATGCCATCACAACCGCTTCTCTCTACAGGGCTTTGCTGGCTGTTTATAACCTGGAGGGGGTCGCTGTGATACAGAAGCTCATTGTAGTTTACTTGGCATCTGAAGACATATTTCTTCAAAGGTATTTTGAATCTGAAAAGGGCTGCACTGAGAAGTTCTATTGGGAGCTCAGCAGATAGTTTCAGTTTCAGTTGTTTGCTTTGTTGCTGCCGAGAGCCTGCAGGAGTCACGCTCAGATGAGGAGGTGTGCTCCGTGATGAGGACGCTCAGCTTGGAGACACAGCCCAGAGGCGGAGATGATCCCAAAAGGTGGTTCTAGTCCCAACCAGTCGTTTTTGCTCCCCTGCCTGCCTGGCTGCCTCAGGACACTACAGGATTTCTCAAACATGCATGAATGAGTCAAAGTAAGACTGGGCATGTTTGTGATGAGAGGACAACATTATAACATGATATAAAACTCAAAAAAGTTTATTTTACATGACATAGCCCCTTTAATGGATCAACATAAAGTAATCTTAGTCTAAAACTGGTATGAAAAGTGGTGGGTGGTTTGCATTCCCTTGCAGAATGCTGTCTTTAATTGTTTGTTCTCCTTTTTACTTCCTTACTTTATTGTATTTTTTTTCTTTTCAATAAAACTACAATACCAGTCCTTATTCTTGACCTAACCTAAAATTCAGCTTTGTTATAAATAGCAGAGATGTAACAGAACTGATGAGCTTCCACCCAAAAATGRAACATATAATACATTTATTGTGACTAAACACACCATCAGCAACACAGTGTGTTAAATCCTTTCTGTTCCATCTGGATAAGAAAGTTTTTATCTGCCTTGTTAGCTGCTCCTGAACACGCAGCAGTGTGTTGTTGGACCGTGTTCTGGTTGTATCACAAACAGCACGTTCTGTGTTCAGTCAGAGCAGGACGCCCGGCGGAGCAGAGACGGTACAGACTGTTGGAGCGCAGGTGCTCTGCCTGCTGTCATTAAAGCGTTACGTTCTGGACATTTATTATTCAGTGATACGAAAGACAAGTCTGCTTCTGTTGCTGGTTATAGCTCAACACCAGAATCATCATCATGACGTTATCTCTACAGTTAAAATAAATCATGTTACACGTTTGTGCTTTTTACTTTGTTGGTAGAAATTTACATTTAACAGAGACGTACGAGAGATTTTAATCTACACAATAACTTATCTCAACAGGCCCGAATCTGGGCTAATATTGTCAACAAATTACCCCATTGCTAACGGGGTTAATTTGTTAGCTAATGTGGATACAGTGAAAACATCTGAAAGAAAAACATTTTGAGTTCAGTTCACTTGTAATCTTGTGTCAGAAGAAAATTGTTTTATTTTTTTTCTTTAATCTCAGAATTCTAAGAAAAAAGTCAGAATTCAGATTTTTTATT